AGGGATGATAGAAGGAGAATCAATGCCTTTAAGCTGTGGTGCTGGGGAAGAGTGTTGAATGTACCATGGACTGCCAAGAAAACAAACAGATTCATCCTGAAGAGGGTTAAACCAGGCTACTCCTTGGAGGCAAGGATTCTGGGGCTTCATCTGACATACTTTGGACATGTTGTAAGGAGGGACCAGTCCTTGGAGAGGACATCATGCTTGGGAGGGTGTAGGGACAGCACAGGAGGGGAAGACCCTCTATGAGGTGGATTGATTCAGTGACTGGGGTAATCAGGATGGGTGTGTCAGAGGCAGTGCAATTGGCACAGTATAGAGCAGGGTTTGGGGCTGTTGTACATAGAGTCGCTATGAGTCGCAAACGACTCGACAGCACATAATAACAACAGCAACAACCATAATGTCTTTTTTTTTAATTTTAATGAAAGTTTATAGAGACTTTGGATTTCCATTCATTCATTGTTGCACTTTTCTCCCTGCCCACCCCTCCCCCCAGTTCACTCTTCTCTTTGAAAAGTAAAAAATAAGCCCAACAACCCAAACCTTTCATTGTTATACAACCCACCTATGTCCCCGTCCACTCCACTGTGCAGCTTTCACTATGGATTCTTGTCATGACAATAATACCTAGTCATATATTTCTCCTAAACAGTTCTCTCCTTCATCTGTTTCAATGCAGTGTACATTATTCATCCCCTCTTTCCCCCCAACCCCATTTCAGTGCTGCTTTACAACAGTGGCACTATGTAGTATTTGTCCTTTTGTTACTAAGATATTTCACTCAGCATAATGTCTTCCAGGGTCACCCATTTTGTATAATATTTCATGAGTTCCTTGCTTTTAATGCAGCGTAGTATTCCATTCTGTGAATATACCACAGCTTCTCTGTCCATTCGTTTGTTGATGGGAACTGGGGTTGCTTCTAACTCTTTGCTATTGTGAATAAAGCTGCAGTAAACATGGGTGTGCCATAATGCCTTTTTATAATAGATGTTATTGTTGTTCTTAAGTGCCTTTGAGTCATAGACGACTCATAGCGACCCTATGAATGAAAGACCTGAACACTTGTATAACTTTCATCATTTCTCTAAGTTCATAAGATTTCTGAAGGCTAGCTATTTCAGAAATGGATGCCACTCCTGCTTCCAAACTTGTTTTAATTGGGGAGCTCCACCAAAAACTGTCCACCATGGGTAACCATTACCACATTTGACACATCAGTGTCACAGTGTTTAACATCACAGCAACCATTAATTACCTCTGGACAGCAAATGGACAGAGCAGTGCTATGTCACTTAGAAAAATGTTTGACCAAAAACAATTAAAACCTGGCCCGAGAGCCACATTCTGCTGCTTCCTCAATTTCCAACCGAGAATAAAAACCCAAGGAATGGTTTAAACTCCATGAGCTCCATCATTCCGTAGTCCTCCATAATCAAGCATTCCCATTGGCTTTTGGGTGGTGAGAGTCAATGGGAATGCATGATTATGAAGGAATGTACGGCGCTCATGGAGTTTCAAAATGTCCTGGGTTTTATCTGACATGTCATTACCAAAAACTTTTTCCCAGTCTGCGGCTTCCCTTTTTACCCTGTTAGGGAAGTTTCTGGATGCGCATAGGGAAATGCTATGTGGTGCCACTGTTGTAGAATGAGGCTGGCATTGCGGTGGGGGTAAGACTGAGAAAAACTGGATGAAATATGTTTATGGCATTGAAGTCTATGGGGGAGAGAATAGTCTAAAAGTATTATATTTTAGGGCATTATTTTTATCGTAGGAGTACGCAATGAGGGTTGCAGAGTGGATTATATTTGGGGGTAAAGGGTGGGGTTTGGGGAGGTGTAGGGGGATTGTGTACCAATGAGGGAGTTTTGCTTTTCAAGGAGAGGAGCAAAGGGGGCAGAGGGGTTTGTGCGGGGAGAAGGGTGCAACAATGAATGAATGGAATTCCAAAATCTCTGTAGATGTTCATTGAAATGAAAAATAAACAAACTAAATTAAAAAACAATGTCCTAGGTTTTAAATTCGGTTGAATAATAGACATAGTAGACTAAAAACTCCTTGAGGGAACTTGAAAGCAGAATTAAAATATTATGTCTCCATTTACAAACTAGGTGAAAGTATGGCCAAATGGAAGCCTTTAAAACACGACTTTCGGTGGTTCCCCAAGTACAAGACATCGCGCCTGGCCACTCTACCTGCTACCCTCAATCCAGCCGAATATGACATCTCTCCAGAGACCCAGCGGGCTCAAACCGAGCGGCTGGCCATTAGATCCCGGTTTAAACGGGAGTATCTGCTTCAGCTCAATGACCCCAACCAAAAGACGATCATCGAAGATCCTGCCTTGACTCGTTGGGCATATGCAAGATCAGCAAATGTGTATCCCAATTTCAGGCCCCCTCCCAAGCTATCTCTCATAGGAGCTGTGTTTGGCCTTGGGCCCCTCTTCTTCTGGTACTATGTTTTCAAAAACGAGAGAGATAGAAAAGAAAACCATATCCAGGAAGGAAAATGGGAACGACTATTTAACATCTCATATTAAGTGTAACAGAGATGACTGTGTATTATTGCTTAAGTAAATCTTCTATTAATCACTAAAAAAAAAAAAAGAAACCAACCACGACTTTCACCTGTAATATGGTTTATCAGTGAGATTTTCCAAAAGGATGTAATTACACATTTAGAGATGCATCTAGCACAGTGGTAGGGAAATGGAAGGCATTCAATTTCATAATGTTTTACGTAACTTGACTTTAAAGTATCCCCTGAGCCTTTCTCCCCAATATTTTAAATATATTCTTCAAGAAAATTAATACTTTTTAATTTAATCCATTTGCTTTCCAAGTACTTTTTGTATTTTTATAAAGAATTTAAAAATATTATCAATAAGAAAGGACACAATTATGTGAATCTATATCATAGTATGAAATCTATTGTATAGAAGTTCAAGTAAAATGTTATAATAATTAAGGTCATAATTTTAGATCTAAAGGGGGTTCAGTAAAACAATTGCAGGGATTTAACAAAAGCTTCATTGCTTTTACTATCATGAAGAATGTTTAATAAATGACAATTGTTATTTTTGTTAGGTGCTACTGAGTCATGTACAACTCACAGTGAGGCTGTGAACAGCAGATATGAACTCCCACCTGTCTTACACCATCCTTATCATCCCTGACATAGTTGAACCCACTTTGGTTCTAACTGCATCAATTGATCTCACTGAAGGTCTTCTCTCTTTTGCTGGCTCTCCACCTTTCCACGCATGATGTCCCTCTCCAAACAAAAGCTTCTCCTAACAACATGACCAAACTATGTGGGACAAAGCTTTGCCATCCTTGCCTCCAAGGAGCACTCTGGATGCACCTTCTCCAAAACATACCTGTTTGTTCTTCAGTACTCTCCTCTAACACCATAACTCAAAGGCATCAATTCTTCTTCTGTCATCCTTATTAACTGTTTAGTTCTGAGATGCTTAGCAGGTGATTGAAAAAAAAACACCAACATGGTTTGAATCAGGTGCATCTTAATCTTCAAACTGACATTATTGCTCTTTAAGGCTTTGGAGAGGTCCCTGACAGCAGACATTTGCAATGTAATACGTCTCCTGACCTCCTGATTGCTGGTAGCAAGGGTGTTGATTGTGGATCCAAGTAAGATGAATTTGTAGAAAACGTCAATCTTTTCTCTATGTTGCCTGTTGGCACGGTGATGTGGATTTGTGTCTCCTTGATGTTGAGATAGAACCCAAGTTAAAGGATGTAGTTCCTGACCTTCTGCAGCAGGCACTTCAAGTCCTCCTTGTTTTCAGCGAGCAAGGTTGTGTCATCTGCATAGTGCTGTTGTTGACGAGTCTTCCTCCGATACTGATGCCACATTCTTCTTCATTGAAGTCCAGCTTCTCAAATGTGGTGCTCAGCATACAGACTGCATAGGTATGATGAAAGGATAAAACCCTGACACACACCTTTCTAGATTTTAAACCATGGAGTGTACCCTTGCTTCATTCACACAACAGCTTCTTGGTCTAGGTCCAGATTTCATACAAGCATAATTAAGTCTTCTGGGATTCC